GGTTCTGGCTTAACTGAATGCTGGCATGTAGTAGAATGCAGATAGATCCATGTCTATCGCCATGCACAAAACGTAAGTCCAAATGGATCAAAGACCTCAACATAAATCCAGCTGCAATCAACCTGTTAGAACAGAAAGAGGGTGCTACCCTTGCACTACTTGGTACAGGAGACTGCTTCCTGAACATAACACCAATAGCACAGACACTGAGGTCAACAATTAACATATGGGACCTCCTGAAACTGAGAAGCTTCTATAAGGCAAAGGACACAGTCTACAAGACAAAAAGGCATCCCACAGAATGGGAAAAGATATTCACTAATCCCACATCTGACTGAGGCCTGATATTCAAAGATTTACAAAGAACTCAAGAAGCAAGTCTCCAAAACACCAAAGGATCCAATTAAAAAGCAGGCTACAGAACTAAATAGAGAATTCTCAATAGAAGAGTCTAAAATTCCTAGCCATCAGGAAAATGCAAATCAAGCAACTCTGAGATACCACCTTACTCCTGTCAGAATGGCTAAAATAAAAAACACCAATGACAGTTTATTCTGGAGAGGATGTGGAGAGAGGGGAACACTCCTCCACTGCTGGTGGGAGTGCCAACTCCTACAGCCACTTTGGAAATCAGTATGAAGATTCCTCAGAAAAATGGGAATCAGCTGACCACAAGACCGAGGAATTCAACTCTTAGGCATATATCCAAAAGATACACATTCATACAACAAAGACATCTGTTGCACTATGTTTATATCAACATTATTTGTAATAGCCAGAATTTGGAAACAACCTAGTTGTCCCTCAACTGAAGAGTGGATAGAGAAAACGTGGTACGTTTACATAATGGAGTACTATTCACCAGAAAAAAAAACAATGGAATCCTGAAATTTGCAGGCAAATGGATGGCACTAGAAGAAACCATCCTGAGTGTGGTAACCCAGTCACAAAAAGACAAACATGGTATGTACTCTCTCTTATATGGATTTTAGACATAGATCTGGGGATAGCCAGCCAACACAATCCCATGGCCAGTGAGTCTGGGAAACAGAACCTTCATCCAATGACTGATGGAAGCAGAGGCAGACTCCCATTGCTAAATACTGAGCTGAACTCAAGGAACCCAGTAACAGAGAGCGAGGACTGAAGAGCAAAGGAGTTAAAAATTTGATGGCTTAACCCCCAGAAACAGCTATACCTAACAAGGGGTAGCTCTTGAATCCCAGACTGACGACTGGGAATCCAGCATGGGACTGATAAAGACCCCCTGAATGTGGGTGTCTGTGAGGAGGCCTAGATAATCTATTGAGCCTTGGGTAGTAGATCAGTATTTATCCTGGTTATACAAATGGACTTTGGGCGCCCATCCCACAATGAGAGATGCACTCTCACCCTGGGCTCTTGGGGGAGGATCTAGGCCCTGCCCTGGATGAAATGACAGACTATGGACACCCCCATGGAGGGCCTCACCCTCCCTGGGGAAATGAGGAGGTATGTGGGGTTGGTAAGAGGGCATGGGATGAGGGGAGGGAAAGGGAGAGGGAGCTGGGATTGACATGTGAAGCAACCTTGTTTCTAACTTAAATTTAAAAATAAAAATTAAAAAAAATACTAGAGCACAGATTTTCAGGGGAGTGTATTGGCTTGTCCTGCTAGAATTTTGCATAATGTTTTACAAGCTTGTTTTCTCCACCATTATTTTACTCTTGGCCATACTTTACCATTAATTTTATATTTCAAATTATTAATGTTAAAATTCAGCAACGTAACAATTGTGGAACTCAAAGTGAAAGTTTTCTCATCTTATAGAATAAGTGAAAACTCATATCTGCCCAGTAGAGATGCCAAGACTGGATGAAACCTCAATTCTCCTTTTAAACCCACCTTACAGGTAAATTTGAGGAACTTCAATGTCCTAAAAACTGGCACTTGGATCATGAAAATGAAATATTTTATCTTTATTTTTAAAGTACTGTTCTTTCACATTTGACAATATTTTAAACTACTCACCTCATGTACTTATTCCACCTCCCTGAAAGACTGCTGGTAATTAGTACTTATTTGGGTGGTGATGTCATTGTCTCTATTGGTGCAGATACACATATGGTGCCTCTACCTTGCCCCAAATGAAAATGGCCTTTCACCCACACTTAGACAAGATAATCCAACTACACTTGTGTGTAGTGAGATATCCACGCCACCCGCACCTATTGCACTGACCACGCCCATTTAGGTATGGTCACTGGTGGGGATGCCGTAAGGGAAGCCTAGGTTTGGGGTTCCGGACCCCAGCTCACTCTCTCTTGGTTTGAGTCGGGTCACAGAGAGCAGCCTGGGTGTGGATTCTTGTAGCTGGAACTTGCAGGTCATTGGTTTCTTATGTAAGTGTTTTCTCCCTGAATAAAATTAACCTATATTTAACCTACTCCCATGTATCCGAATCTATGTGTCTATACTTGTGGGCAACACAGAAGAAAAGGAAGTAGGATGGGCAGAGGACGGTTCCAGTAGGAGAAGGGGTAAAAATTATTAGAATTCATCATATAAACATGTAACACTCTTAAACGTTAAAAATTAAAAAAAAACTGTAGCAGTGCCCATTGAAACCACCTTTCAATAAAACCTTTCGACGAAATGACATTTCAACAAAACACTTCACAAATATTAGTGGTAATTAGCACTAATTTAATCTGAAATTCCTGTAAATCCAGTCATTAGTAGATAATGTGTTTTGAATATATGTAGCTTAAAATAATATTTCTATAAGTAACTGCTTTATTGCAAATATTGTAAAAAAAATAATAGCATCAAAAGAAGTATTGGAGATTTCTAAACCATAACAGCAACAACAAAGAGTTAACCTGATCTATGTGATTGAAATTTGCTTGAGGCAAAGAGGAGTCAGAGGCAAGAGAGAGAAAAGCAGACCCATGGGCAATGCTACCTACTTTGTGATGCCTACAGCTGTCTGTGGGAGATTGCCTTTGAAACAATTATCCAATCACATTTCATTTTCATGTAAAAATTGCTCTGTGATTTTGATACATAGAAAAATCTATGTGACTCTTTTTAAATTCATTTATCTTTAAATTTCAATAGCTATCTCCAAAGAGATGTAAAAAGGTGATATTCAGTCTTTCTTTATAAAGTTTTATTACCAAAGTTGATCACATAGTTACTTCTGTGAAAATGGAATAATACTCTGGCATTTTGTGTAAGTTTCTTGTATTGTTCATTGATAAGGTTATTTTAATGTGTTCTACTTTTAAGATAACAAACTGAATTATCAAGTGTCAAAAGAGTCCTAAGCAATAGCAGTCTTTTTTATTCTGTCTGCTTATTTCAACTATTTTGGAGGAAGTTCATTTATTAGCATCCTATATTCAGAATGAGATTAAGGAAAAGAAAAATAGAGAGAAATATTTTACTTGCTACTGGTAGAATAGCATTTTTCTATGCACAAAAGACGACACTGAAATATGATGAGCTACAGATATAAATGATAAACTTCAACAAATGTGTCTTGACCAAAGAAGTATGTTCAACCATTACCAAGATTTTTGCATTATTGTCATTGGGTTCAAATATCATTTATGTAAAACTCTTACATAAATCTGTGTCTCTTTGATTTATTATTTGTAATCCCACTGGAAGGAGAAATATGGTGGGTGTTTGACTGATGTAATACTAAATGTCTATTCTTTAAGTGGTTGCATGTAAGAATAATATAAGCTATATGGAATGAGTACATATTTGAACTTTTTCATTGTAGATAACTAATGGGGCAATGTTCTTTGTTTTCAGCTATAACACCTATCTCCATTGCTGTTTCCTTGGAAATAAATGTGAAATCCATGTACATATTAGTTCCATGGATCAATAACCAAAGTAAAAAAATGAAAACATATTATCTTTTGCTTTAAAAAATGCAGAACTGAGTATAAATGTGGACTATGTGGCTATCAGTGTTTAAGCTTTCAAACTTCAGTTAATTTAACCCACTTGGAATCTGAATATTAGTCTTCGACTCACAGAATTCTTACTTGGTAAAATACCTGTCAGAAAGATTCGTATTATACAGACAATTCCCACTGAGCACCAGAATGTGTCCAGTGTTTAAGTACATGGCATTATGATCGATAGCAACACATTCCAAAATGTATCTTCTAACTTCAGCTGCCTCTGTGTGCTTTTCAAAATAATTAATTCAACCACACTACCTCTTCAGCACTGTCCACAATGAAGTTATAATGTAGAGACCTCTCTGCTAGTAATTCTTGAACTTCTTATCATGATGTTATTTTTTTCATAATGCCTCAATTTTCACATCCTTTATTCATTATTGATTTGTCTTTATTCATATGTCTTCCCAGATAGATATTGATCACTTACTATAAACCAAGGAAATGGTGCTAGGAAGCACACTTATTTTATATAGCACTTTATAGGTTCTTTACTTCCTGTAACTTACAAATCCTTGTTTCTAAAAGTGCATTCAATGCATTTAAATGGGAATCAAAGGCTTCAGAACTTCGCAACAGCCTTGGAGATGCACAGAAAATTACAAGGCAAGGTTTAGAGTTGCTGCCTAAGAATAGGATTTTCAACTATAAAATATACCAGAGTGAAAGAAATTATATATCTTACCAAGGGCATGTCTCCAGTTTTGTAGAAGGCAGTAATGAATATCTATAATTACTGTATGCCAACTCTGACCTTGACTGTATTGTTTTTATGTGTACACAGATTATTTTGCAGTGCCTCCGTAGTTAGGGAGTCACTCTGATTGGACATTATATACTTCATGTTACAAAGGTGAGACTGATTCAGTATTGTTACAACACAGTATTGTGCGATGGCAGAGTGAACAAATGAGTGATGATAGTTTAGTGAACTTTCTTCAAAAATGAAGAGAGGTAGTATTTGCAGTATATGTCAGGGTTGTCAAGGACTGTGAGAAGACATCATTGATTTTCCCCATGCCTTTTGTTTCTTTGTAGAACGATTCAATGTTTATCTAATGCCTACACCCAACCTGGACATTTATGGTGAATGCACAATGCAGATCACTCATGAGAATATCTATCTCTGGGATATCCACAATGCCAAAGTCAAACTGGTGATGTGGCCTCTTAGCTCACTAAGAAGATATGGTCGGGATTCAACGTGGTTCACCTTTGAGTCAGGAAGGTAAGTTTCAATTTCATGACAGAAAGACAGCAGGCATGTATCAAAGTCCTGTAAATTCTGGCCACCGCTACCAGGAATAAGCATTATCTTTATAAAAACATTGAAGTTAACAAATACAAATATCTTCTGCTTCTTATTAATGATTTGAAAAATATTATTAATTATATTGCAGCTACCGTAGTCAAAATCATTTCAGTCTCCCACATGTATATCAAGCTTTTTAAATAATGTTGAGTGTTAAAATGTTATTAAAAGTTTGACACATCTTCATGCAGTAATATTCCTATACAATTAAGTGTGTCCTTGGTTGCATAACCTTCATGAGTTTATTAAAAGCAAATGACACTAAATATTGTTTAAAAATTATATTTTAGGTTTGAGATAAGTTGCACAACTTCTTCATCCCACTGTTTATACTGGTAATAGTGAATAAATTTTGGCATAGCCACGATTGTTATAAAGCAAGTCAGTTAACTTTTTCATCTCAGCATATAGCTGATGCCCATAAATGCTTGAAATGAATGGATTGCTCATAATTATTATGCATAGACATGAAATTATACATGATCTTCAGACAACAAAATTAGCATTTTAATCACCAGACCTCTTTGGGAAAATACCCGACTAATAGAGACTTAAGTTTAGAGATTTTTTTTCCTTCATCAGGAATTAAACTCAAAGTCTCCTGTGTGTGTGTGAGTGCCCTAGCCAGTGAGCTATATCTTCAGCCTAGGTTTAAGATTTCTATGAAACAATATGACTGTTAATGCATCAGTCTTCCCAGGTGAGAACTGAGCAAATTGGCAAAGAATTGGCTGGCAAAACCAGCAGAGACAGCTGATCTGAACAATGGGGAGCTCTTGGACCCCAGACTGACAGCTGGGAGGCCAGCATGGGACTGATCCAGACCCCCTAAGTGTGAGAGTCAGTGTTTATCCCTGGCATACAAACGGAATTTGTGTGTCCATGACACAAAGAGGGATGCTCTCTCAGCCTAGGCTCTTAGGGGAGTGCCGGGACCCTGCCCTGAGTGAAATGACAGACTCTGGATATCCCCTATGTGGAAGGAAGTGGGTATAGGGTGGGAGGCTGGGGGGATGGTGGGGAGGTACGGGAGGAGGTGAGGGAGAGGGAACTGGGATTGACATGTGAAGCAAGCTATTTAAAATTAAAGTAATAAAAAATTGAAATTAAAAAATACACTGTTCAAATGAATTCATAGTCTTAAAAAATTATGGCTGAGGCCCCAATGCTTGTGACGTAGCAACTTTAATCCATAACTTTCCTCTTATAAAATGTTTAAATATTCATGTATAGTTGTGTCCTAATAAATTTTAAGAACAAACATCTGTCAGCTGCAGTAATTTTCCTAGAATGAAGTACTTTTACACTAAGGAAATATTATGCTTTATCATACTGATTTCTCTGATGAGTGTTGATTCCTATATTTACTTAGTAACACTGAGCTCAGGTAACTATCTATTCTTTTCTGCCTAAAAACTCAGGGTACAATAATGATCACAATCTTCATAACACTTGAAAGTAAAATTTTCAACACAAAGGAAGTTTGTAGACATGAAAACTGCTTTAAAAAGTCTTACATTGTATAAAAGGGATGATAATCTTTTAAATATTCACTCATAAAATAAATATCGATTACTAAACTTAAAAATCAATGTTATGGGGAATAAGGAGATAAATAATTTAATAAAGTACGTAACTACAAGCATGAGGAACTGATTTCAGTTCCAGAACATACACAATAAAAATAAAACACAAACAAACAAACAAAAACATTGGGTATCATGATCTGTGCCTGTAATTGGAGTCTAATGAAGCAGAGGCCTGGACATCAGCCGTCCCAACTCAAGTCGGGCGCTGGGCCAGTGAAAGACCCTGTCTCAAGGAGATCAATGATTTGAGGATGAAACCCAAAGTTTTCACCAAGCATCTGCATTCACACACACACACACATACACAGAGAGAGAGAGAGACAGAGAGAGGGGGGTGAGGAAGGGAGGGAGGGAGGAAGACAGATAGACAGAGCACAACATATGAACATATATGCAAATGGACATTCACATATAAACACATACAGACACATGCTTTAAAATTACTGTTGCTCTAGGATGGCATATGAGGTAGTCATCAATCTCATTATCGGGAAGGGCATTTAAGACAGCCTATTGTTTAGATTGTTAGTTGGGATCATTCTTGTAGATCTCTGGACATTTCTCCAGTGCCAGATTTCTCTTTAAAACTAAAATGGCTCCCTCTATTGTGGTATCTTTTTTCTTGCTCTCCTCTATTCTTCCCCATCTCAATATTCCTGCTCCCTCATGTCCTCCTCCCCCCTCCTCTAATAACAGAGCCGAACTCCTGGCATCCAGTAGCAGAGAGGGAGGAGTGATTACCAAAGGGGTCAAGACCAGGTTGGAGAAACCAACAAAAACAGCTGACTTGAACAAAGGGGAGCTCATAGACCCCAGACTGAGAGCTAGGAAACCAGCCTAGGACTGACCCAGACCCCTTGAACATGGGTGTCAGTCAGGAGGCCTGGGCAATCTATGGGGCTTCTGGTAGTGGATGAGTATTTATCCCAAGTATACAAATGGACTTTGGGAGCCCATTCCAAATAGAGGGATTCTCTCTCAGCCTAGACACATGGGGGAGGGCCTAGGTCCTACTCCAAATGATGTAACAAACTTTGAAGATTCCCCCATGGAAGGCCCCACCCTCCCTGGGGAGCAGAAAGGGGATAGGATAGGGGGGTCATGGGGGGCAGGGGAGTAGAGGAGGGAGAGTGAACTGGGATTGATACATAAAAGAAGCTTGTTTCTAATTTAAATTAAAGAGGAAGAAAAATAAAGCGAATAAATACTTTTTTTTTTTTTTTTTGGTTTTTCAAGACAGGGTTTCTCTTTGGCTTTGGAGGCTGTCCTGGAACTCACTCTGTAGACCAGGCTGGTCTCTATCTCACAGAGATCCACTTGCCTCTGCCTCCCAAGGGCTGGGATTAAAGGCATGTGCCACCACTGCCCTGCTGAATAAATACAGTTTTGAACAAAAAAAAATTACTGTTGCTGGAATCTCAGCTCTCAGCACTTGGGAGGGAGGTCAGTCTCTTAGTTCAAAGCCAGTTTAGTATAGATAGTGAACCACAAAGGCCAGTCAGAGCTACACAGTGGGACTCTTCTCAAAAAAAAAAAGCAAATAAAAAACAAAAAACAAACAAAAAAAGTAATGAAACTCTTACGGGAATTGTTTGGTTAATTTTCTTCATTTCCCCTAGCCCTACCATCCTACCACACATCCTTCTGTGGCTTTCTGGTTAAACTTATGGGGTTTTGTTTTTTGTTGGTTTTGTTGGTTGGTTGTTTTTTTATTTAGTTAAAAAATATTTATTTATATATTTTATCTGCATGAGTGTTCTGCCTGAACTTACATCTGTGCATCGCTTGTGTATCCAATGCTACTTCATGCCAGAACAGGATATTGGATCCCCTGAGACTCAAGTTACAGAAGGTTGTGAGCTACCATGTGGGTTCTGGGAGTCAAATCCAGGTCTTTTGTTTTGTTTTGCTTTGTTTATTTAAATTAGAAACAAGCTTGCTTTACTTGTCAATCCCAGCTCCCTCTCCCTCCCCTCCCCTCCTACCTCTACCAACTCCCTCAACTCCCTACCTCATCTTCCCTCCACTACCCAGGAAGGGTGAGGCCCTTCATGGGGGATCTCTAGAGTCTGCCATTTCATCCAGGGAAGAGCCTAGAACCTCCCTCATGTGTGTGGGATGGAAGAGCATCCCTCCATGTGGAATACGTTCCCAGAGTTTGGATGCCAGGGATAAATACTGATCTATTACCCCAGGCCCCATAGATTGCCGAGGCCTCCTCACTGACACTCACATTCAGGTGGTCTGGATCAGTCCCATGCTGGTCTCTCAGTAATCAGTCTGGGGTCCATGAACTCCCCCTTGTTCGGGTCAACTGTTTCTGTGGGTTTCACCAGTCCAGTCTTGACCTCTTTGCTCATCACTTCTGCCTCTCTGCAACTGGGTTCCAGGATTTCAGTTCAGTGTTCATCTATGGGTATCTGCCTATGCTTCCATCAGCCACTGGATGAAGGCTCTAGGATGGCATATAAGGTAGTCATCAATCTCCTAATTGGGGGAGGGCATTTAAAATAGCCTCTCTACTATTGCTTAGATTGCCAGTTGGTGTCATCCTTGTAAGTCTCTGAAAATCTCACTAGTTCTAAATCTCTCCTCAAACCTATAATGGCTCCCTCTATTACAGTACCTCTCATGCTGCTATCCTCTGTTCCTCCCCTGATTCAATGTTCCTGCTTCCCCATGTCCTCTTCTCCTCTCCTCCTCTCCCAACTCTTTCTTCCAGCTCCCTTTCCCCTTCCCTCTTACAATGCTCCCAATCCCCTCAGGAGAACCTTTCCAATTCCCTTGTTCAGGGTACCATGCATACCTCTCTTAGGGTCCTCCCTGTTTCCCAGATTCTCTTGTGGTGGGATTGTAGGCTGGCAATCCCCTGCTCCTTGTCTAAAATCCATATATGTGTGAGTACATACCATGTTTGTCTTTTTGCAAATGGTTAACTCACACAGAATAGTTTCTTCTAGTGCCATACATTTGCCTGCAAATTTCAAGATTCCATTGGTTTTTTTTTTCTACTGAGTAGTACTGCATTGTGTAAACATACCACATTTTCTGTATCCACTCTTCAGTTGAGGGGCATCTGAGTTGTTTCCAGGTTTTGGCTATTACAACTAATGCTGCTATGAGCATAGTTGAACAGATGTTCTTGTTGCATCTTTTGGGTATATGCCTAAGAGTGGAATTGTTGGATCTTGCGGTAGACTGATTTCCATTTTCCTGAGGAATCTCCATATTCATTTCCAAAGTGGCTGTACAATTTGGCACTCCCACAAGCAGTGGAGGAGTATTCCCCTTTCTCTACATCCTCTCCAGCATAAACTGTCATTGGTG